CTTTGGTATTTAATTCAAGTTCCACCAAACTGCCATTTCAGATAGTCTGGAAAGGTAGGTCAAAACTATACACTTCTGGTTCACATGTTTGCTAGAATGTGCTCTTTTCCTCCAGAACCTAGAAATTTCGGCGGCCTGGTTGGTTCATCCAGTCCCTTTTTAAAGACCAGCACATTTGCCTGGTTTCACAAGTTCTAGCTCCGTTTCATAAGTTTAGTCTTTACAGTAGTACTGTCAAAGGTTTGGGTTACTTCTCTACTCGGGTTTTCCAAGTGGGCTTCCATCTTCCTACCTGGTTTCCTTGATTTACACAGCCTAAGGACTTATCTTGGGTTCACACCACCCGGTACTGGTTTGTGTTCTCTTGTACAATGTTGTACAAGTGCCTTAGACCTTCCAGTCATGCTAGTATGACACAGGTTACAGATATCCTATCCTAACCAATCACAAAAGACAGTTAGCTGTAATACAGAAAGAATTGCAAATTTTCGCTATCACTGGGATTTGAACTCTAGACCTGCCATTTGGAAGTTAACAACCTATCTACTTCACTAGGTCATCACATCTCTACTTAGAAAATTTTGCTAAATAACAAATATGATTGTAAATATTAATTTTGCAAAGGTAGTAGATAAAAACAAAGGTTGTATTATGAAGATATTACTGAAGTAGTGCTGGAGTGTAACTAGAATAGTTAGGGTTACTGCTGTGACTCAGATACTAAACACAACTGTAATTTGTAATACAAATTACTGTGTAATGTAGGTAAGAACCAAATATAGGAGGCAGTTAAAGCCAGGTACATCACGGGATTACCCGATGATCGACGATCACCAAGTAATCCTGTGATAAAAAAAATATATATATTTATTTGACAAATTTTTTTTTCAACGACGATGAATTTTAATAAAAAATAGCTTTTTTAAAACTTGTTTTCACCAAGGATTTAAAAATAGAAGGAAGAAAATTGATGTATTTTTTTTTTATACAAAAAACTGATCACTACGAATACATTTTTTTTTCTTTAAAAATAAAACTTGTCTGCTTTCAACTTTGATTATAAAATGGACAGTATAGTCGAGATTTTAGAAATAGAAAGTAATAAAGAAAGATACGTAAAGCACTATATTAATCGCGTGGATTTTTTATTTTTTTATATATTTTTTTTTTCTCGCATACTTAAACGCCTAGTAATAGACAAATGAACCAATATCTTCTACCGTAGTTATAAAGAAATTCGAGCCTACAATAATTCAAACGACAATCAAAAATTGGGAATATATTAATATCGATTAAAGCATTGACAATACAACCACAAGTCAGATATTTGCAGAAGATTAAAGTTTAGTATTATGTATGTAAACGAAAGGTTGTTGCCACTCACTTATGGCCCACCTGTACCGGAAAAGGTATTTGCTATGCCTTATCGAAGTGACAATCTTAGTTTATTACCACGGCTCTTTGCTTGCAGTACTGGCTCATAAACGTGTCAGGTGAACACTGAGTTGGCAATAATCTTTTGCAATAGTCCATTATGCAAAAATTAAGTGTAATAAGCAGCATAATATAAGACTATGTTTGTTTTACCAATTATTTATTAAATTTTTTCCTTCATTATAGAATATGTCAACTTGAATTAACAAGCACAGCTCAGACACCAAGATAACAGTTTATATGTTATCATTATTCTATTATTATCTCTTAATATCAGAGCGAATTTAACTGTAAAATGCTTTGGATTTACTTTTTAAAAAAATTTATTTATTTAAATAAAAGTTTTTTTAGAATAAATTTTAAAAAATTTGAATTGTGTATATATCAAAAAATGTACAAATTTTAAAAAATTTTTTTTTAATTAAAAGAAAAATAATTTTTAATTTTTTAACATATTTTTTAAATATTAGTTTCAAATCTTTTATTTATAATGTATATAATATATCATACATATTTTAATTAACATGCATATAATTTATTACGTAATATACTATCTACATCTAATTTATTTAATAACATTGTAGAACCAGAAACTTGGAAGCTGTTCTTTTACCTCGAATAATTTAAAGCTGACAATTATTAATGAAATATACGAAAGGAGATTGCTTCATGAATTGATACGAAAAATGATACATATTCAGTGATGGATAACCCATATAAATTTAATTACTTTTTTATGAGAAGCGAAGATGGCTCTAATGTTACTTCGTTTTGGAATTTATGTGATAAGCAAAACTCATTTTGCAATTATTAACGTTAGGGCATTTGTAAGATAATTTGTTTTATTCATGTTAATTAAACTGTAAGTATAAAATACTTCAACTTTTATTTAAACATCTAGAATGTAAAAATTGTGTACCTTTGCCAATGCATTCTTAGTCTTGCATAATATTACAATTCTGCTTTATCAAAAAATCGTCTAAATCATCTTTTGAATTAAACCTAGTTTAAGAAACCCTATTCTTTTTTCGTAAATCATGAACCTTAGTCCTATTCATTGCTGCTTGCGTTATGTTATCACCATCACTGTCCTTTCTTTCTTTCACTAATCCATATACCTCGAATTGGTGCTTTTTTTTTTCTTTTCCCTTTTTTTCCCTTTTTTTTTTTTTTTTACTTTTTTTTTTTTTTTTTTTTTATTTTTTTTATTTTCGTTTTTATTTTTGTGAATTTAAAATAAATTCTAATGAAGATCTCAATGTATCAACAAATGCAGTTTCTGTCCCATGTCTTCTTCTTCCTCGATTCTCCAATAAGCATTACGTGTTCTCTCGATTAATTCGTATACAGCTGAATGTCAGTTCTCTGCAGCTTTCTCTATTTCCGTTTTTTCAGGTAATTCTATTTCCACTAACTCATAGGTTGTATATATTTCAAATCCATTTTCTGTAAACATATTTTGAAACATTTCCTAAGCACTAACAGTCAATAACTTGTTTTTTCTGTATAGGTGTTCGTGAAAGATATGTCGGCAAGGTAATAAGTATCGACGGAAGAAAAGGCAATTGCAATTAAGAGATAGCAAGCCAGGTGCCTTCTTGCCCTTTTTGATTCTTTTTTCAACAGCATGTATCTCAATAACAATTAATTGTTGGAAAGGAAAAGGTAGTTTATGAATTTGGTCAAGAATTTTGTAGTCTATACCGATAACTGAGATTCGTTTAGTGCGAAACTTGAAGGCTGTATGTTCTGCATCTGATCATTTTTTCATATCGAGGGCAATAATTTGATTGCAAGCACCTAATTTTTTTTAAATAAAAAAAAATGTTAATTAGTATAAATTAATAGCTACTTATTCACAATGTAATAAATTTTTTTATAATTCATTAAATAAAATACTTCACGATTTTGAATAACTGATTACCTATTAATCCATGATAAAAACAGTCATTCTTTTTAGTTCACTGTAGTATGATTCAATAGCATTCGTCGAGGTTATTTGTAAAAGGAGAGGGGAGTGCTGACAGGCCCAAAGGGCCCATTAATTAGTATTTTTCATGTAATTCCATGATATATATTGTTTAACAGCAAGAATTTGACATTTGTTAATTGCCTCCTTAATAAGTTTATCATAGCCGATTTTTGTTATTTTATGCATTGCCTGGGTCATTTTATTTCGAGCCTTTTTGTCATAAATCTTAGTCATCCAAGTGCGCATAATGTGAACCATACAAAAAATAACATTACACTTTTGCTCACCTCTCAATAAACCTGGAAAAATTAATGAAATAGTATTGGCTTCTACATTACTTTGGTCTGCAAGGAAGTACCGAGGTTTCCAAGCACATTCAAAACGTCGAATTATTCGTAAGGCCTCTGCTACAGTATTACTATCTTCCTTACTCACATAGAAATGCGCCCCAACGTTCCAAGAACCATGATTGTTCCGAACATACAATGTAAATAAGTGCCAATTATACTTATTCATTTTGTGTGTGGAATCTATTAACGTTAACCATCCAAACCGCTGAAGATTTTCTAACTGACTTGGATGAACAAAAACGAACCCACGAGTCGATCGATAAAGAATTTCAAAACATTCTACTTGGTACCCTTCATTTTTTAAAAAAACTGTAGATTCTTCTATATCTAACTCCATGCTTTTGTTATTGATAAAGTGTGTGTTTTGTGACTTGCGAACTTTATATTTAATATTAGAAACCTCTCTTCATCTTAATTCTTTAACACTATCACTAAGACCTAGTTCTATGGTTGCATACTCTTTGATTGCACTAACAATTACTGGCGGTGGATAATTTTTAATCGCTGCCTTTTCCACTAACATTCGAACATGTTCTGAACGTTTCAACATCTCGCTTCCCTTTATTGTATGAGAATGGTCAGAACTATTTTGAAATCGTTCAATAAGCACCTTCTGCTCTGTAACTAATCATAAGACCCTGATCTTTGCATGGCATAGATTTGGTAGATGAATCTTCGTTTTTCATCTTTTCTCACTTGGCACCTCCTCCTTACGTGTACTCGATGGGTTGTATTTGGTAAAACGGCATGTAAAAGTAGTTATCTGATTACCATTATTATGGTTTCTTGAATTGTATCTGGTCCAAATATTGGTAACGAGAGGCCACTATTCGCTATCAAAATCATGTATTGAAACCTCAAATGATTGGCCAATATTAAAAAGAAGTGCATGCCTTTGATTAGGAGTAAGTTGAGATGAATCGTATGTTTGAATTTCATTGTTTGTTGAAGTTATAATCTACTGTACATATAGTATTTATATAAGTATGATACTATACTATATTAGATGCGAGAAAAAAAAATATAAAAAAAAATCCACGCGATTAATATAGTGTCTTACATACCATAGATGTTTCTATCAAGTTTTCTTTATCACTTTCTATTTCTAAAATCTCGACTATACTGTCCATTTTATAATCAACATTGAAAGCAGACAAGTTTTATTTTTAAAGAAAAAAAAACTATATTCGTAGTGATCAGTTTTTTGTATAAAAAAAAAAATACGTCAATTTTCTTTCTTCTATTTTTTAAATCCTTGATAAAAACAAGTTTTAAAAAAGCTATTTTTTATTATAATTCATCGTCATTGAAAAAAAAATTTGTCGAATAAATATATATATATTTTTTATTACAGGATTACCTGGTGATCATCGATTATCGGGTAATCTCGTGATGTACCTGGCTTTAACCGCCTCCCAAATATAGTAATAATAGATTGTGTTGAATGAATATCTATAAATAGGTTAGTTATAGATGTTGATGTAAATTAATAAGATATGGATTTGTAAATGATTGTATGGTTATACAAAAAAGTGTAAGGGAAAAAGGGAATGGAGTAAAGACAAAAAATAGAAAAAAAGTTTTACAAAAGAGTAAATATTGAATTTAGTTGTAGTTCAACCAATATTAGATCAAAAATCTTTATTTAGAGCTTGTTTTGACCAAGTAACTGTGTACTACAACTTTAATTAAGAGTATAGAACAGATTAAGACAGTAGAAACTGCGAGATAATTAAAAGTTATAAACTGGAAGCCAAAGGCCATTAGTAAGGTTTTCTCGATGAGTTTAAATTATCAAAGCTTAATATTTGCAGGATATATATAAAATAATAAGCTGAACAAGTTTACTTAAGAGCCAGAACAAGTTGTTTTAGTAAAATAAATAGTTATAAGTGTTTTTAGATAGACAAATTTTTTAGTTAATTTTTGTGCAATGGATTTGCACAAAGAGTTTTTTATTTATTTTCTAAATTTATTTGTATGACATTATATACTTCAAATTGAACTCTCTTCACTGATTCTCAATTTCAAAAAACAAGAAAAAACAAACTCAAAAACAACAGAAAATAGACTAGCAAACATCCTTTAGATGACTAACAAAAAAGCTGTATCAGGAAAAAATACATATAATACAATAAAAGTTAAAAGACAAAGAAAGCTATACTAAGATATTAACAAGAAACAGCAATACTTTTGACAAAAAAATGAAAAATTTTAAGGGATTGGCATTATCCTGAAAAATGAAAAACAAAACATATGATAACTGTAGCAACAACAAATAACAACAAACAAATGGGTCTTGTACCTAATTAGGAAATAGCAAGCACTATTATAGAACCAGTAATGTAGTACTATCAAGATACTAATAAATATTACAAAGTTTAATTATAGATATTAATTAGTCTAAAAAGAAAGATCTCGATCCAATCATTAGAATATAAACTAATAAATGAAAATTGCAATGCAGATATTATTTCCTATATTAGAATAATAGAGGATAAAAACTGAAGACATGTAGACTGTAGAATTTTGGACCAAGTTCTTAAAACTCCTATACAGAACCCAAATAATATAGAGCATATTGCTAAAGAATTAGCAATATATGACCCAAAACATATTATACTACATGATATGTTAATATATAGTCAAATACTAGAAATATTAAGAATAGCAAAAACAAGCCAGCTCAAAGAAGAAATAATTGATAAGTAGGTAGTAAAGCTTAAGTTAATAAGCTTCAATCCAGACTTATTTGAATACAATACAAACATAAACAAAGAAATAACACATCAAGAAAAAAGAAGAACAAACGATGAGCAAAGGCTTGGAATATTAGAAAAACAAATAAAAGATTTTAGTATTTCTATACTACATTATCAGAAAAGTCAAATAGTTAATGAATCTGAAATGCTAAAAAGTAATATAATGCAGAGAATAGAGGAAAACAGTAAGGACACAAATATGGAATTAGAAGAACAAGAAGAAGAAACAACTGATAAAGAAATCAGCATCACATTTTTAGCATATATGATTAAGCATAGTCGATAGTCTCTAGAAAACAGAATATGCAACAAGAACAAATCCTTTAAGGCAAATATGCCAACTTATGCTTTACTAGATGAATCTAAAAAAGAAAGGATAAAGTATATCCAATAGATTCTAGGAATAACCATTATATCAAAACAATCAAAGAAGTATTTAAAAATAGGAATAATTAGATAAAAGTAAACTTTAATTGTAAATATAGCAAAGATGCAGCAATGGACAGAATTAGAAAAAAAGAAGGTGAATGGCTTAAACTTATTCTAGAAGAAAATAAAAATAAAAGTCAAAAAACAGAGCATCATGAGAAAAACAATACTAAAAAAGAAGAAAGAAAAGATATAAAACAAATGAAAAAAGATAAAGAACCAAAAAGAATAAGAGAAATAAAGAAACAAGAAAAAGGAAAAAAAGAAAAAGATGCCATGAAGAGAAGTATAGTAATAGAAAATAGTGAAGACAAAGAAAAGAAATTGCAAAAGGAAAAATGGTTAACTATATAGGATCTACCACCAAATATTAATAAAAAAGAGATTAAATATATGTGCAGAAAATTCAAAAACTTGAACATTATACAAATCAAGAGACAACTCTATAAGGCATTGGCAGTAATAGTAGCGAGCTTAGAGAAAAAAGAAAATATTCCATGAGTACTGCCACTTGGCAATAACAAACTAGTATGTATAACAATTGGGAATAAAGATTATATCCAAAAAGATAAGCAAGGACAGCATACAGCTAAATTATTAAACATTCCAAGAGGAGCCTTGGAAGTGCTTCTGTTACGATGTCTAAAGAACAAAGATGCAAAAGCAGTATACATTTCATACAACAAAAATAGAAATCAAAAGAAGTTTGCAATAATTATTTTTGCAAATGCTCTAGCAGCAGAAGAAGCCCAAACAACACCAATATGATACAATAACCACCAAGTAAGTTGGAAAAATCTTAGAAGAAAAAAAGAACAAAAAAAAGATGAATCAAGAGGAAGAAAACAAGAAAGATCAAAAATAAATAGTAAATAACAAGAGGTATCTAGAATCAGAAACATAATGCAAGAAAAGCCAAGTAAAAGATATGGTAAGATAGGTTTAGACTCCTGAATACAAAATATAGAAGAATGGTTAAGAAACAAAAATTCTGATATAGAAGTAAAAAAAAAAACCTAAAGAAAAGAAAAACTGAAACAGTCTTGTAAGATTAAGCAAGAACAGTACAATTAGAAGATGTTTTGTGTCAAATTTTGGATAGACTAGACAAAATAGAGGAAATGCAGCTAAGTACAAGAAAAGATCTAGCTGATCACTCTTAAGGGCACCACAATTGAACTAATAAATATAGACAAAAAGATCAAAGAATTCTTGCAAAATAAAAGAAAAGTGTTTAAAGAAAGAAAAAAAGCAAAAACTCCTTGTCAAAAAGAAGAAATATGTAGTAGAAAGAGAGAAAAACTGAAAAGTACAGAGACAAAACACAGATCACTAAAAGAAAGATAGAAAGACAGAAAAAAAGAAATAAAACTAGCATGTTACAATGTGAATAAACTCAAGACCAAAAGTTGGAAATTGGAAAATCTGCTCAGCTGGACAGAGAAAGAGGAAATTACAATATTAGGAATTACAAAATCAAATCTTACAGAAAGAGAAAGAAAGTTTCTAACATATGTGATAGGCAAAAGATATATAGAGTTTTGGACAAATGCAGCTGAAAATAAAAAGAAAGGTTCAGACATTGGAATTATAATCAATAAACAATGAGAAAAGCATATAGGAGCAGTTAAAAAAATAAGTAAATATATGATAGAGATTACACTATACTTCAAACAATTAGAATTAGTTGTAATTACACTATATATACCACCAAATGATAAGGTAATAGGAAAAAACATCTAACAAAAAATTGTAGAAATGATTTTAAAAAGAAAAAGACAAACACAAATTATTGTAATGGGTGATTTTAAACATACAGTAGACAATATTCTAAACAGACAACATTCACAAACAACAAACTATAAAAGACTGCCAATCTTCAATTAGATAAAAAAACAAGACTTTAGAGACATATATAGAGATATAAATCCAATAGATCGACAATACACATGGTCAAATAAAGAAGCAGCAACAAGAATTGACTATATATAGATATCAGATAATTTAGTCTTAGGTTTACAGAAGGCAGAAATCAAAGAGATAGAAGAAATTACAAAGAACAACCACAAAATAATAACAGCAGAAATATGGATCAAACATATAATAACAGCTAAAAGTAAGACAGAGATTAAAAAAAAAAGGTAGTCAAGAACAGTATACTTATATGATCAAACAAAATTAGAAGATTGGAAAAATTATGCACAAGAGCTACAGAACTGGTTAGAAGTAAAAGAAGTTCTAAAAAATATTTACAAGAAAGAACAAAATAAGAAGAAAACAGAGAAGATAAACAATATATAGGATGTAATAAAAGAAGCTATTATTATAGCAGCAAGTAAACATATACTTAAGAAAAAAGTATTTAATATGAAAACTAATAAAAGAAGAAGTCAGAAGAAATAGAAACAAAAAGAAAGCATTGTCAAGTTACAGAAATTAATTAAGTATGCAAAAGCTAAAAAGACATAAGCAGTAACAGAAAAGGAAAAAAGTAAAGTAAATAAACAATTAAAGATGCTAAACAAGAAAATCAGTACAAAATTACCAAAACTACAAAGACAATAGTCAAATGCATAAATAGAAGATATAAAAGGTTGAAGAAAGCTATTATTGGAAAGAAAAAAGAAGGACTGAGAGCAAATACAAAAGAAACAAATAGAAGAGAAAATAGATAAAAGATGTGAAATAATCAAAACAGATCAGGGAAAGATGATAGCAAGTCTCTTGAATAGGCCTTATAAGAAAATAATACTTAACAGATTTATCAAACAAACAGAAGAAAAAACAACTCTGATAACAAGTTCAGAAGATGTCAGAGTAGAAGTAGCAGAACACTACAAAAAACAATTTAAAAAAAAAAATACAAGATTAGAAGAGATGTCAAAAGAGTAGAAAGAAATATACAAACCATGAGTAGACATTAGAAAAGAATAATATAT